CTACCCTTAAGCGTTTGTCATTAATATTTATTATTATTATTCTTTTTATTAACGTTTTCAACCCAACCCACTTATTTACTACACTGGCGGCATATGATATTTCGCATGCAAAGTGAGTCAGCTGGGGTGTCACATTTATAAGCTGGGCGCCCCAAACGGTCAATGTAACATACATATTGATTTTAGCGCTAACCATTTATCAATTTTCGTTTACGTTTGTACATATATAGATACGCATGTATGTATGTACACATACCGATTTTATTTGTATGGTTTTGGTGGCTTAAAAGATGATTTTAATTATTTCCAGCATGTCCTATAGCAATTTATTAAAAATAATTTATCATCCAATGCCTTAACAGATTTCTTAGAAATATGAATTTGAGTCAACATTCGCTTAGAAATCATTTCAATTGAGGTTTTTAACTGTACAGTTGTACAAACCATAGTGTAATAAGCAAAGTGAAATCAATATATGACATACTTATTTTCGAAATGCTTATTTGACAACAGTTTTCTCATTGCATTAACCCGTTTTCTAGTAGCAACATTATAGATGTATTTAAAATTTAAAATTTTTTTGTTGCAATTCCAAATATAATTTGTTTGAGAGCTGTTTCTGCAGAACTACCCACAATGGAGGAAGGTATGTTTCTTGTGCCGAAAGATGTTACGCAGAAAGGGGAATCGATCAATGAATGCGTGTGGTGTTCTACTGACTGCATCATCCAAGGTTTGCGCCCTGCACTTCAGATCAAGTGAAATCAAGTACAGTAAAACCCGCTTAAGTACCTCGCGAAAAATGTCAGCTTTTTGAGGTACTTACGCGGGCTGGGTACTTAAAAGAATTGTTGTCCTTAATCGGGTTTCACTGTATTCAAATTCCCAGGGAAGACGCCTCAATCCTAATGCTTGAAACACAATACCCGGCGAACGGCGAAGTTCGCCGAATTTGGCGATGCCGTCGTTCACCGTTCGCCCTGCTCTTTCGCCTTTTTTAACCAGGGGGAATTATAATAATTATTTTATATTAAGTCAGATTTCGATCGAGAATCGATCTCTGTATTTTTCAACCAACCAAAATAATTCGTATTATATTTTGTTTTCTTCTAAATCTTTGAAAGCAAAAAAACATACGGCCACCTTTGGCCTGGTAGAATAAATCTATCGCCACGAAACGCCGCCGAGCATACTTCGAATTTCGCTTTGACTGTGTTCAATTTCATATGCCGGCGGGTGTTCTAATTTTGACAGCGGCAATTTCGCTGTGTATAGATTTTGTTATCGATATTTTCTATAGAATTTGTTACCGATATTTATCGATTTTGTTATCGATATTTATCGATTTTGTTATTGCTAGTTTTTATCGATATTGTTATCTTCATTTTTATCGGTTTTGTTATCGATATTTTTATAGATTTTGTTATCGATATTTTTATCGATTTTGTTGTCGATATTTTTATCGATTTTCTTTTCGACATTTTTATCGATTTTGTTATAGAAATTTTTATCGGTTTTCTTGTTGACATTTTTATCGGGTTTGCTATCGATATTTTGATGGATGTCACTATCGATTTTGTTATCGATAGAGTATAAAAATATAAAAAAAGATAACGGAAAACAGAATAACATAAATGTAATTAGAATGAACAGGGTAGAGGTAGAGATATAGATAGAAAAAAGACAAAAAATATAATTTTAAGCAAAAGCAGATGTACATATATATGTATATTGGTTATGAGCAGGAAACGGAGTTTGAGGACCTAAAAACCTATAAAAAAGGCAAAATAAAATAACGAAATAGGCTGGAAAAGGCAAAATAAAATAGCGAAAAAGGCAGGAAAAGGCACTAGGTATTGCAAAAAGGGCAAAACAAAATAGCGAAAAAGGCAGGAAAAGGCACTAAAAAAAGACAGAAAATACGAAGAACAATCAAAAAATACATTTATTTTAGAAATGTTTATATTACAGCTCGGCCAAACACTAACATATGTGTAAGCGCCAATATATTATTATTATTATATTACAAGTAAAAAGAGAAAAACTATGAACTAGTTTCATTATATGAAAAATTTGTACTTTGAATCTTTGACTATTTTATCCTTTCGAGTATCTAACTCATAAAACTTTAATCTGTATAGTTACTAATTGAACCACAAGATGCATTTTGAAGTTTTCTGGCAGCATTTTCATTCGATTTTCGCGAAGAAAAGCCTTGAATGTACTAAATGTGCGCTCGCCGCAAGTTGATACAAGTGGAGCCCAATTTAAATATCGAACGTTTGAAACGTTCATATTATCAGGAATAAGGGCGTTTTCCTCGCCCTTTACAATTTTATCCACACCCCTTATTGTCTCCAAGCCTACGTTAGCTGAGAAAACGGCCAACACCAATTCGGCAAGAGGTCCCTGCGCTTCTATAAGCCGCATGGGAATGTGTATATTTTTTAATATTAAAAAAAAATTGTAAATGCTCTAATCACTTTTTTAAAGGTAGAAAAGGCAAATATCTTAAAAAAGGCAAAAAAAGCCAACATCAAATATGTATATATGGAATCGGGGAAAGCTAAATCGTGGACATTCTTAATCGAATTTACTCTATCTCTTTAGCAGAAAAAAAGGCAATTTCCATAAAATCCGTTCCCTGGTTATGAGACAAACTAGGTATGTAACGTAAGTTTCACTTCTAAAGTGTAGCCCAGGCGCACTAATATTTTTTTGACTTAAATACGAGTAGCTATAAATAAGTTGGATTGTGTAGTTTGTAAACAAAAAGTTTATGACGGCTCTTTATAGTTTTTTTTACTTCGTTGCAGTTTCATCATATATTTTCTCCGCGCCATAATTAAATTTACTAACTCACCTTTTCAACAAAAAAAAGATAACTGAGGTTAGCCTTTATTTTCGTTAGCGATTCCATTTCTCACAGTCATTAACCTAAAGCACCCTCGCATAAAACGCTTTCAGAGTGATATATCACAAAAATTTCAAAAAAAATTTAATGATAGGAAAAGTTACAATGTGGCCCATTTCGGTCTCTGATAAAAAAATAAACAATCGCTTTTCTTATTTATTTGCACCAATCGAGTAAATGGCTTGAAATTTTAATTAAAAGTATTTGCATTTGTTTTATGCATACAGCGCAATATTTTTGAAATTAAAATTTTTGTAAATACGAATTTATTTTAAGTCTCATTAGAATCAGCTTCGTTTTAGTTATTGCATTTTCGTTTTAATGTAAATGTGGAAATGCATACTTACAAAAAATTACACACTACATGATACACACTCATTTATAAAACCGTTTTGACAATTTTCCTGCTTTTACTATCCCAATGTTTTTGAGCATTTATATTTTTATTTAAATTAAAAAAATTTAAGTATGTTAGACATTAAAAAAAAGTTTGATTCATCTAAATTTACAACACAACTTAACTTCAATAATTTAGTTATTAAATTTTTGCAATTCGAAATTTCCTTTTCATTAAATTTATTAAAAACAACTTTCAGTTTCTTTATGTCAACAAGGAATTCTGGTTTAGGTTTTATCAGACCACCATTTGAAATTTGGACTATTCATGTATATGAGTTGGAGATTTTATTTTCATACTCAGTATATGATAAATCCTGCAGCTGGGAACAAACGCGTCCGCTTAGAAATACTCGGCTGCGATGGGCAAAATATAAAGTCAGGCGCACACGTGAAGTGTCTTCTAATGAAACATCGCGGCAATTTGCCCACCGTTGTCGCTTCATTTGACAATTCGGAGGTGTAAAATAACGCACACGTTTGTTGTCCTGGCTCTAGGCAAACACAACGCCCCGCCCGTAATTGTTTTTCATTTTATTATGTATTTAAAATCAGTCGGACAGCTCACAATTGAAAATTTAAATAAAAATAAAAATTTTGAATATTTTGACATTTCAGTCGCAATTCAAAAGAGAGAAAGTCGAAATCACTTCTACCTCGTTATGTCTTGATAAAAACATTACAAGGTAAATTCCAAGGCGAATACATATAAGGTGGCGTCGATTCAACAAATACAATAATTTCTTGTATTTTGTTTTTGCGTTTAGCGGGTCATTGTCAAAATTCAGCTATTCTTGCCCGAATGAAAAAGGGCGATAGAAAATACAACACCCTCACGTTTTCACTCACTAATGAAATACAAAATTTTGACAATCAAACGCTACTCTCAGCTGATGAAACAACATCACCTTATATAAATTCGTCTTGGTAAATTCATTCTCTCAATTCGTCCGCCATGATTCTTTTTCTGGCGTTTGCAAGCATTTTAAAATCATATGAAATTGAAAATAAAAAATTAAAATGTTCACATTTGTTGTTGTTTGACATTGAAAATGAGAAAGTGCGTGTGAGTTTCAGGTTAGAATTTTTTAGTTATATTGCTGGCAAACGTCAGACTGCGTCTCAATGATTCTACCTTGTTATGTTTTAATCATGCCTCATACATTGATTTCACTTCTTTTATTACATCATTCGTTTTGAGAAAAAAGTTTACGAAAGCGGGTTTGTCAGCTGAGCGTTTGTTTACATTACAAGCACCACTATTTAACTTAATAATACTTTTACTTAACTAGGCTTTGCGGGAAATACTATCTTGTATTTCCATACAAAGCCTTAATTAGCTCAAATGCCACTAAATTTTTTAACACTGTGATTCATTTAAATTTATTTACAATGGTGTTTGTACCGCCCTAATATTGAAATAAAAATTTCCTATACCTGCGAACGCATTAAAAAACGCAGGGTTGATTTTTTGTGTACTTGCAGCGCATCAACTGCACTATTTTAAGGCTTATGTAACTCATTACTTATTAATATTACAAAATTTATGAATACACAGTCTTATTAAAAAATAAAGAAATACAATTTTTTGTTCGATAATTTGCCGTAATACAATCATTTGCAGAACAAAAAGTAATCGCACTATGCACGCAACTCAGGCAACCCTTGTAGTTTCTGGAGCGTCCCTGCTTTGGTTTGACATTTAACTTGTGTTGCCATTTCAACTTGGTATAGAAAAATTTCGCTCATCAATTAAATTAAATGAAAGTAAATAGACTATAAAATGTGCTAAGTTTAAAGAGATGCAAAATTTATTACAAATTTTGAGCAGAATAGAATGGAAACAGATGATTTCTCGCATTTAACTGAAGACTATAGGTTGGAACACACAGATTTGGGTGAGTGCCACGGACGTGCAAGTGGACGTGGAGGTTTGCCAAACAATTAAAAATTTAACAAACGCAGATAACGAAATGTCGAATGAAATGTTTCAACATAACTTATATTTGGATGACCAGGAGGTGGATGAAAATGAGCCAGACGATGTTATCATTTTACATATGGACATACGTGAGCCGCTACGGGCTTTGCAGTAAGTAGGCGTTGGAAGGCACTTCCTGTTTCTATTAAAAAAATTAAAATGCAAATTAAATTTTTTTTAATATTTACAGAAAACTGGCCGAAAAGAAAATTGGCATGAATCTAAAGGGTTACAAATTCTATTTGCAAGACACGCAGGAGGTTTGCATAGCCTACTTTGTTTTTGATGGTTTTTGAATTTCAAAATTTTCGATTTGTATTGCAGTTGGAACCGCATAAAAATCTTGTAGATCAGTGCGTAAAAGGCGAAGGACTTGTACAAATTAATGTACAGATACAAACGACAGAACAGCATATAAATATAGTGGATGTTTTGAAACCAACAGAGGCGGCGTTGGGTATGTCGTATTAATATAAGTACATGCATATAGTTACTCAAACCTAACATCATAACTTCACTTACCTTCACTTAAAATTAAAAATTAGCCGCTTTGGCTGCTGAAGAAACCAAAAATTCTGAGAAGAATGAAGATTCCGAGAAGAAGCCATGTCTCAACTGGGTTTTAGACAATAAATTCAAAAAAGAACAAACTCGGCTTAAGATACCAGAAGATCCTAACGAGTGGACAATCGCTCAAGTGAAGCATTGGTTTCAATGGGCTATACGACAGTTTGAGTTGGTGAGTTTTGAAGTACATTTACAGATTCTACTCGTCCGATTGATATTTTTGTCAGTTAGCCAGCAGTTATACCATTTCCCAACGGCACACAGTGTTTCGACTATATGGAGGCAGGTGGAAATAGTAGTACGCCTGCATCGATAACACTGAAACTTAACATGTGCTCTAGTTTTACTTAGAAATAGAGAATTATGAAATTTGAATTAAAGATGGAATAATTGCCACGCCCTCTACTCTTGTGGGCGGAAACATTAGATTTCATACCAATTCGATGAAATTTAGTTTGTAGTCTTTATTTTATTAAAAAAAAAAACAATATAAAATATGGGGAAGTTTGGATCACTATAACGTCCAAAAAACAAAAAATGTGGGCCCAGTCATTAAATATGATGGAATTTTGGTTGATTTTTATTTCCTGCTTACTACTCTCAGAAAACAAAGGTTATTCTATAAAATGACTTAAGTGAAAATATTCGCTTTTTTACCATTGTTTGGTGAGATTTTTTCAATGTTCGAAAAATGCTTTTCGCGAAATTATTCAAAAAGAAGCTGAAAATCAAAAACTAAATATATTTGATAATATGCGGGCAAATATCAAAAAATATATTCGAAAACTACATAAAATTCTCTAAAAAATTTGCGTAATTTCATGACCTGAACGGTACTCCAACTTTTTTTTACTAATATTCTTTTGCATCTAAATTTCAAAGTAAATTTTTTGATAAGAAAATAGGAAAGTAATGAGTAGCCGTTACAACAAAAACAATGTCTTTCCAGCAACTTGCAGTGCTCCCGACAGCGATATCACTTTCCTGTTGTTGTTGTAGCGGCTACAACAACCCCGCCCAGATCGGTTAATATCTCAGTGGTAGTCGTCAAGCTCCACTAACGGAAGCCCTAAGAAGCGTGCAGCCTGTTGTTGTTGTAGCAGCATACAAGTTCACCAAAGGGTTTTTGGGGAGTGTTGATGGAGTGACAGTCCTTGGCCAGATATAAATCTGCGTCGTTCCGACTACGTAGACCCGACTTCGTGGAAACGAACAATAAGCGTGCAGCCTCAATGGCGTCGGCTCACAGGGACAAAGGCGTTAGCGTTGTCGGGTTTTCCGGGCATACGAAGAGATGTTTCGAGTCGTGGGGTGTCTCTCCGCATGCCGGACACTCAATTGGCACATCTTCACCTAATCTGCTCAGGTATGAGTTTAACCTGCTATAGTAGCCACTGCTTGCAGAGCATTATGTTGTGCTCCTTTATAGGGAGCATTTCCGCCTCGTCGTGCAGGTGGTGATCTGGCAACGTCAGAAGGCATCCAGTCGCCGTCCGAAGTGCAGTGTTTTAAGTAGTCTGCAGCTTCATCCACTGCGTCCTACTAGTCCCCCCGGCGACCACACTGGTGCTGCGTAATTTCCTGCCGAATCTACCTTACAAAGGGTATGAGAGTACGAATTTAGAATAAATATTTGGTAACAGACATACTTCTGAGCCGTTTTACCAAGTAAGGTAGTCGAATGATGTAGTCGTCGAATATGGAGCAGTCGTTATTTTGCAACTTTCAAAAGGTGTCTTCGGAGGTGTTCATTATATGCTTTATAGGGAATTTACTTGAGGCGATTTTTCATGAAACTGCCTACTTTAGTTCAACTTTTGGTTCAACTAATCGCCTGTGAAAGTTGAATCATGTAAAGTTCCTATTAAAAACATTTGTCAATAAAAACTGAAAGAAAACATGGATTACCTCGAAAGGTACTTACCTATTTTCCGGGAGCCTATATTGCCTGCCGAAAAAAACCTTTGTGTGTGTTACCTGGACCGGAACTGGGGCAGCCTACACTTCCAACTTCTCGGCAACGACGGTCTCCTGCTACCAATTCGAATCGCCCCCTTTGCAAGAATAAGTTCCATTTTCCGAAGTCTGACCTTCCCTCCTTATTTCCTAACTAAAATCTTTTAAAAAATAGTTATTGGAATATACCCTGTGCATTTATTGTTTTACCGACTTTTTCTTTCATTTTTGTCGTGAGTGTCTTTAAATTAGTCAATCAATCTACATACTCATTTATTTGTATAAAAGTATAGCTGAAAGAGTTAACCCCAACCGGGACATAGGTAATCTACTACGCTTGCACCTCATCTGGTTAGCAATCGCTTTGAGTTCCTTTCCGCTTAACTCGAGTTGCTTCGTTTCCCGATCGACTGTTCTTCACGCTTGCGGGGCCTGCCGGAAATCCTGCCTCTGCCGATTAGAATGTTCCATTCCAAGGCCTTTGCAATACTGCCGTCTTCCTTGCGCCTATCCACTTCATTTACATTTGAGTTTTTCGGAGCAACGCTTTACTTGAAATTGTTTTAAGCTAAAAAATTCCGAATGGAATGAATACTGACGCTAAACCAAAAATGTATACCACATTCTCCCCACCACTCGGAAACATCTCTTCGTATGCTCGGGAAACCCGACACTGCTAACGCTTTTGTCCCTGTAGACCGACCCCATTGAGGCTGCACGCTTCTTAGGGCTTCCGTTATTTGAGCTTGACGACAACGACTGAGATATTAATCGATATGGGCGGGATTGTTGTAGCCGCAACAACAACAACAACATCGACCACATTCTTAGACGTTCCCACGACAGTCGGGTCTACGTAACCGGAACGACCCAGATTTATATCTGGCCAAGGACTGTCACTCCAGCAACACTCCCCAAAAAGTCTTTGGGGAATTTGTATGCTGCTACAACAACAACATCGACCACATTCTTAGAGAAGAAACCTATTACAAATGTTGTCTTAAATTTTTAGTGTAAGCATTTTTTACTAAAGCTGGTCTTTATATTTTTAGAGCGGTGTCAGCATGAGTGATTGGCACATGACTGGAAAAGAACTTTGCTCCTTAACGCATGAAGAATTTCGCCAAAAGCTGCCACGAGACCCAGGGAATGTTTTCTGGACCCACTTACAGCTACTCAAGGAATGTAAATTCGTTTCAATTGTACATAAAATAGTTGAGGATCGTGGAAGTTCTGCCGGTGGCGCAAAGGTAACTTCCAATCCTGCTGGTTCGTTGTCGACGCCAATGAAAGAAATGAAAATAATGCGCAAAACTAGCGTAAGCGCAACAAAGAGCTACTGTAAGAAAAGCAAGTAAAACTAATTTTCAGTAAATGTTCTTTTATCAAGCAAATTTCCTAACTCCTACAGCGCCTTTACCTTTGGACGGTTCATCTACATTCACTGTACTCAGCAACAGCAACAGCGGTGGCGGTGGCAGTGGCAGTTCTGGCGGTATCGGCAATAGTTATAGTGGCATAGGTTCAGGTAATAATGGCCAAGTACAACTGTGGCAATTTCTACTCGAAATTCTCACCGACCGTGAGCATAGGAACATCATACAATGGGTTGGCATCGAGGGTGAATTTAAACTTATCGACCCGGAGTGTGTGGCACGTCTATGGGGTATTAAAAAGAATAAGCCCGCAATGAATTATGAAAAGCTATCACGAGCATTGCGTTATTACTATGACGGCGATATGATATCAAAAGTATCGGGCAAGCGCTTTGCCTATAAGTTCGATTGTGATTTAAAGCTGTTGATTGGTTATGATGCAGCAGAGCTATCACAATTAGTAAATGAGAAAACTTTTCTGGATGAGTCGATGTATTTCAAACATGAAACATTGCAAGATGAATTTAAACAACTAACAGACGATGGGTGACATGATGGCGAATGCGCCGAATTCAGAGTGAAAACAGAGCCCGTTTGCACGCTGGAAATAGAGCCTTACCTCGTGTGCGAAGATCAAGATGAAGACGAAGAGGAAGAGAATAATTAATTTATGAATTGCGTTTTGATTTCTTATTTAGTTTTTTACTGTGACAAAATATTTTATTTACATTATTGGTATTCCATCTATGGCGTTCATAACATACGAAAAAATATAATTTCACCATTTTATTTAAATCATAAAAAAAAATTATTTGTTCTTGTTATTGCTATTGTTTGTTGGCGATTTTTATTTATTTATTTTTTAATATTTTTGTTAAAATTTTATGCTTTATTCGCATGCAACGCCAGCTTAATAAACCTTAGGTTTAAGTTCGTTATGTTTTTATTGACTAGTCCATTTTTTAAAGTTTCACATTTCTCTTAGCTTGCTTGTGAAAATAAGGCATCTCATTTTTTACGAATTCTAAAACTAACACTACTTAGATTTACGAATTATGCTAGGAATGTTTTGCTAGGCTCTCTAGCTTGTCTAAGCAAATTTCTAGGCTACTTGGTTCGCTGCTTGGCGGCAACTGGGCGGCGTTTATAATAATTTATTTGTTCGTAGGTGCTTTTCTTATTTTCCTTTAAATATTTTACTACTTTATGACAAAATTTTAATGCAGTTTACGCATCCAAAAGCAATAGTTCCACTAGCATGGAACAGCTAGAAGCGTATATAGACATATGCAGGCATTTGTAAATGCATCTTTGTGACATAATATTGCACACCGTCTTCAAAATAGTCACAACTCAAAATAATACGTTTGCCAGAATATGCGAAAAGCTATTTCTTAGCACATGATAATCATATAAGCAAGGGCGACTTTATCTTAGATTTTTTTTAGCACATTATAAAAAAAAACAGTTACAGCTTTTGCTGAAAAGTAAATAAAAGTTCTGTGTACATTTTTAGCGCATAATCTCAAAAATGTCAAATTTTGAGTTGTGACTCTTTTGAAGACGGTGTGCGTTACGTGCTTTTTGTAACTTATAAAAATTCATTGTAAATATTTTTCATTCTTAATATCGCCGTCACATGATCAATTTTAATTTCGCCGAAGCACAGCAAACGCTTTTGGAGTTGGTCTAAATCTAGTATTTTTTAAGATATGGCTTTGAATTAGCACATAAGTTGATAATTAAAAAAACAAAGTTTTCAAGACTTATATTGTATTGATAACGGCGACATTTGCATTTGTATGTATACATATAGATAGTACCTGTTTTGTGAGTTTTTTGCGGTTTTACGTTTCAACAAAACAAAAATAATACTTTTATTTAAAATTATACACATTAAATAGATAAACTAAAACAAAAGCTATTTCACATAAAATAATCCTACATTTAAGTTAAAACTAAAGCATAAACCATTTCATGATTCACTTAAAAAAACATACACAACAAAATTTTACATGGTAGACAGGATTAGTTAGTGCAACTAATTAACGCAAACTATACATTATAACTCAGTCGTTATTTCATCCTGCGGTCGAAAGCCCAATTTGTAGAATTCATCTTCAAGCCACAACGAACTTGCATTGAGATCCGATATGAGATTACCGCTCTTTAGCGTATTGAAGCTGCTGCCGAATGGATCCGAAGGTCGGGGCTCTTCGAATTCGTGCAGACTAATGAGCGATCCGAACATATGCATCTTTTGAGGTCCCGATCCCGAAAGCATGCTTTGCCGGTAGACGTTGGTTTTCTGTGGGAAGAAAGTTGCATCAAAGTCATCATTTATGCCGACACTACCGCTGCCGCGTCCTCCAATTCCCACCCCATTGACACCGGAGGGTTGAAAGAAGTCAATGAGATGACCTACTTGCGGTTTATAACGTTCGAGTGCCTGTTCAGCCCATGTATACAAGCGATTCCAGTCGTGCGGTGCAGCTGGTATCAACTCAATTGGTCTATTGAGCAATATTAATATTTTAGCCAGATCACGCACAATTGGGCGATAGGAATTGGCAGCACCTACTTCGCCCGACAAATACAGCTTGCGTATCTGGCGCCTCGTATCGTTTAGCATTGATAGAAAGTACTCTGCGTTGGGCCGCATTTCGTTGAGTTGACGTAGAAAATCTGAGCGATCCATTGTATTCTCGTTGATCAGTTTCTGTTTTATGGATTTTCGTCGTCGGCGTCGTCGTACTAACATCATGGCGACAGCAAGTAGTGTGAAACAGACCACAAAGCCGCCGATAAGACCAGCTATGGCGGCCATGAATGGGCCAGAGTAGCCGGTGGATACGCAAACACGTCCCATAAATTCGGTATGCGCCGACCATTGATCGATGTATCCGGAAGGGCATTGCTCGACACATTGCCGGGTATCGGTCATCAAATAAGCGGGACACTTGATACAGCCCTCGCTGTTGCAGCGCAAACAATGTGAACTTGTAGTTGGCGGACATCCTGAAATGAGAAGTGAACGAAGGAAATATTATTTTACGTTGTAAGTGGTAAGGTAAATCTTAATAAAAACTGAAAGAAAAATTTTGTCATGTACATATGTATTTATAAAGAGTATTTTATCCATGCGAAAGGCGCTAAAAAATTCGTCCCTCTCTCTAGCAGCTATAACCCTCCGCCTAAAACAGTAGGTTAGGTTAGGTGGCAGAGAAAAGATTCGACGCTTCCGATTTCTTCTTTGTCTCGGTAGCTTCGAAATAGTCATTTGTGTAAAGCGCATTCGTCCTGCGTGAATTCCCATTAGGCATTATTTTGTCGAAGGCTCACAGGATAGAGATTAAGCAAAACACCTGTCCGGCTTTCCCTAATTGTAAATTTCTCTTCAGCATTTGAGTTTGCATGTATGCTGTCCACAATGGTACCTAGGTATCTAACGTCGTCCGCCAGTGTGCCAGTTAAGTGAAGAAAGCAGAAAGGAGAAGCATGACTGTCTTAGCAGGACTAGCGTTTAGTACGCCCTCCTCCGTCCAGGTCTCAAAATAGAGCATTGTGTAGACATTTAAAACTTGATGGTGAAAGGTCTGGGTTAAGTTTAATGGGGATATCCTTGCAGATACCCAAACCTTTTCTTCTTTCTGCGAGGTTGGTCTTCCTGCCAAAAGTGGGCAGAAGTGGGCAAGCTTATCCAAAGGATTACAGGTCCATTAGCCCAACATCGTTTTTTTTTTTTTAAACGCTGGAGAGGTTAGTAGACGGATACATCAAACCAAACCGGGAGACATGCTCTCAAATGCACAAAATGCCTAAACGAAAGGGAGATCGGTAGATACAATGCTACACAAACTTACCCGTAGCCGAAAGCTACATATGTTGTTAGGCGAATAGAAGCTGCTCTGGAGAACGGGGAATTCCTGTTGGGGGTGTTCCCAAAATGCAAGCCGTAATTTCGAACTGGATAAGCAGTACGTTGAACTGCAGCAGTTTTTCTTCGCAGTTGGGCAGGCAAGAGACCACCAAACCGGTTAACAGGGGTACGCCGCAATGGGGCGTATTATTACCGTTACTTTGGTAGCTGGTGGTCAACAGGATACTGAACAAAATGGAGCATAAGTATGCGGCTAAAATTTCTGTCATAGTAAACGGAAAATGTTTATACAGCTCACTTATGAAACAGTAAATGCAAGGTTCCGAACGAGTTTAAGCCTAAGCTGGATGGGATGACCCTCCAGGTGAAGAAAATTACCAATTACCTCAGAATAATACTCGATAGTAAGCGCTCATGGCGCCTCAATGTGAAGTAAAAGGCGAAGAAGACCTCCGTGGCATGCAATGCATGGAAAAAGATGCTGAGCTGCCACTGGGGCTTATAGCCTTCTCTTTCTCACTTTTGTTCGGTGTACAGCAATGGAGAAGAAAACATTTCTTAAGAGAATAGAAAGGGTATATAAGCTATCAATGATCGGCATGACAGGGGCACTTGGGACTACACCAGCGGCAGCACTTCACACCTTGTTGCATCTCTTGCCGGCGGACCTATCGGCCAAGAATACAGCCGCCGGGCTTTATGCTAGGGGTCGGTTTTTGTGCAGGTCTTATGATCAGAGTAATATAGCGTCAATTTTACTAGGACAGATTGACTACTTATGTGATCCCTTAAGCTGGCACAATTCTACTGCAGCAGGACGTCTGGAGCTAATGAACAGCAATCTAGCAGGTGAATTTATATCGTTAGTCAGGCTGCGATAAAGTCGCTACTATCGCACAGCACTTCCTCTAGAAGTGCAGGGTATCTGGGGATTTCCTGCCAATAGTGACGTACAACTGTAATGGGTTAAAAGGACATACCGGCGTCGCGGCCAACGCGGAGGCCGGCAGGCTTGCCAAATAGGGAGCTTTGTCGGAAACTATGCTGATGGTGTTGATTTCCCTCCACGGGTTTGACGGTAACTCGACCTCTCTATGATCAGCAAGGCGCAGAAGGCGGGGAACAAAAGGTAAGACTGCAAGGTGCCCAGGATTATGAGCTGAGCGTATAATATGAAGCTCACGAAGTTTCTCCCTTCCCTCAAGAGGGAGGACGCTAGGCTACTGGTGGGTGTACTGACGAGCCATTGCCTGCTGGAATCACACGCCTTAAAACAGGCTCTGACCAATGATAAAATGTGTAGGAGAGGCAGCACGAAAGAGAGTGGAGCATATCCTCTGCAAGTGTCCTGCCCTTAGCAGACTGTGGGTTAATCTGACTTTTGAGTTAGCTCACTTAAAGAGTTCTTTGTAATATATTCGCCAGCAACGAGCTCATTTTTAAAACTGTCTGAGCCATATGTTTCAGATTCCATTCGAGCAACAGCGGTGAAACCCATACTTTTGTTTTTACAGATGAGTTAGCATTCTGGATGTCAAAGACCCACCTTTTGAGACATGTGTAAATTCATACATACAAACATGCAACAATTGGTTATTTAAATCGATTAAGCCCATCAAAGCCGATTACGCATCACATATAAACATAACTACATATGCGTACTTGTATAAGTACTGGAACATATATGTACGTATGCTAAGAAATGGTATTTTATTAGTGGTCAGGTGCCGCGGTGTAATTACCAATTGATCCATTTGTCATAATTACGATATTTAAATCGGTGAAATGGCGACACATTTATACAATTGCAATTCGTTAACTTTCATTCCGATATCTTTAAACACCGTTGGAAATAACGAGAAAGTTAACTGAACTACATACATATCGGTCGTTTGCTAGAAGAACGTCATAATTAACAAACACACAAAAAGTTATGCATAAATAAGCCGCCAGCTATTCTTTAACATAACTATATACATATGTATGTTGTCACAACGATATCTGTCAATTGAGTATCGCAAGTACGAAATTTGCTATCCTTGCAACTATTTACTAAGAAACTCTTTGGCCAAAGTAAGGAACCAAAGTAAGGTTTGATGTAGTAATGCACAGAACCGAGTTCTTTAGAGAACGAACTAGCCCGGTTCTGACAAGAAACGAAAAACCGGTCTAACGGAACGGAAGCTCGATTCCAGAAGTTCCGAAAAACGGTTCCAGAAGAACCAAGACTCGATTATGAAAGACCCGTAGTAAAACGGTTCCGGAAGAATCCAAAAATGGTCTCAGAAAAACCGAAAAGATAAGTCCAAAGATCTGAAAAAAAAAACATTTCAATAGAACCGAAAGCGGTTCCTACAGAACCGAAAATCGGCCTGAAGCGCACAATGCTCTATTCATAATATCTAACTATGAAGATATCAGCCCAAAATGCGGTTTATGTAGATAGGTATTATAGAGCTCTGAGTTGACCTGCCAAATTTTGTTCGGTTCGAGGCAATATATCATATAGCCACCATATACCCGTTCTGGCCGACTTACATGAATTATGTAGGAATACAAAGACAAATTATTTATCCGAAGCACTGCCTCTTACACACTCAAAAAAAGTAATAAAAAAAGCAAAATCGCTACAGCGAAAAAATGGTTTAAAAAACCGCACAAATTCAAATGTGCATAAATAAAATCCATATAAAAGGAGACCTAAGTGTATTCGAAATAATTAAAATCAACGCGAGTTCTTTAAACTTAAAACAAAAAAAAAACATTGTGAATATTTAAAATAAAAATCACTTTGTGGTCGATTGTTTGAGTCACTGTATGTGCTCATTGTTTACTCAAAAGTGGTGAACAATTTGTTGTGTCTACAAATGTTTTCTGGGTATTCAAGAAAGGAATTCCAATGGTAATATACATAGTTGGGAAAGTAAAATATTCCACTCAGACTGACTCAAATCTAAAAGACAACAAGCATACTTACATAAAGTTTTGCAAAAGAAACACTCACAAAATATAAAAATACGAAAACGAAAAAAGTACAAGAAGATAAAATAAACAAATTAAAATAGGCGCATTTCTCGAAGCAGCTTAGTCTGATGGCGAAAAAATGTACATACATACATACATACATAAATACACAGGTACATACTCCTATATATACATATGTACCTAAATATTTACGTATAAAAAGAGAAACCCAAAGACATGAAAGTATCCAAGCCGACGAACGCTGAAAATGTCACATGCTTTCGGCGATCAAGGGGGCCTCGCCGCGGACCGGCTAGCCAGCCAGCTGCTCGCTGTCCTATTTATCTTGGTAAGAGCGCATGCGTTCCTGCAGCAATAAAAATAAAAATAAAAATAGTAATAAAAACAATCAACAACATAATATACGCCAGAGATAAAACGTGTGGCTCCATGCTTTTGCAAAATTTCCACACGTAACGTAGCGTTGAAACGACAACAAACGGACCAATGTAGTGCTGCAACGTTGTAAAACGAAAAGCAAAGGGCATCGCCGCATGCTGCGTAACCATTAAACGGTGCCGCGTCGCAGTTAGCGATACTTAATCCAAGTTGCTAAATTTGTTGCTAACTGTCACTTTACCCCCTACCTGTGCCACCACCACCCATTCTGACTAGCCGATTGCAGTATTTTCATTTAATTTGCCATCGCCTGTCTGTGTCTGCGGCGATGCAGCTATTGCGCATGCGTACAAGTTCTTTTCATTTGGTTTTTGCGTTTCCTGCACGCATCTTCTTCTTCCGATCAATTACTCTTATCGATACCACTCCGGTGATATTCAACTTCAATTCTCTAACTGTCAGGCCCTTCCGTCAGCCCATCATTCAATCTCCAATCAATTGTCTGCAGATCGTCGTTTGTGCGTAAATTTCCAATTGCAAGTATTCGTTCGTAAGTATTATTGGAATTAACTTGTTTATTTGCTAATAAGCTGGAAAATTATTCTCCAAATGCGAGTAATTGAGATTGACGTGCATCTGAATGTACGAACCAGTTGTGGATTCAACGGTTCGCAGAGCCCAACATCGATCGATCCATCGATGGCGGTTGGACAAATAGCCGATGGCAGTACAAGATAGCTTTCGGTAGAATAGTAAGCAAGTACGTACAATGTATGCTATTTAATAATAGGGTATCA